ATGAAGATGCAGCACGACCACGAACTCGAAGCCAAACAGCAAGATTACAGCTCACCAACTCAAATCCCCCAGCAACTAAGACTAACCTGAGCACAACCAAGCCCCCACCTGAACAGAACACGCCTCCAACCAATCAGAACACGGCTAACCCCCCAACCAATCAGAACACAGCCAAACCCCCTACCAATGAGAACACACCCCCACCCAATCAGAACACAGCCAAGCCCCCACCCAATCAAGTCCCACCCCCACTAGCAGTTAAAAGGAAGAAGCAGCTGCAATCTCACATCACTCTGAGAAGCACAGAGCTGAAGAAAGAAGCCTGAAGATGATGAATGAGACTTCATCGAAACGTTGCCTAGATACTTCGAATCTTACGCGGGAGAAAACCCGAACAACCAAAGATCCACATACAAATACCCGCGAGAACCTCAGAAAACATATATATATATATATATATATATACTTAAGTTTTTGCGGGTATGGCATTCGGCTTTGCTCGGGTATTTTCCCACGACATAGTAGGTGCTTTTAAAGTTGTAGCGACGTTTCAGCAGAATCTCATCTGCCATCATATATATATATATTTCTGATCTGCATTTCTGATTCCTATTGTTTATCCACTGATATCATTTTTCCCAAACTGTATAATATTGCAAGTCTTCCTTATTTTTTAACTCTAGTGTTAGTCTATCTGTTTCTGTTCAATCAAATATCTTTTGGATTATTAGACTATTTGTCAGCACGGTGTCTTTTTTCCAACATTGTGTGAGTGCAATTCTCGCTGCTGTAATTATATGAAGGATTAGATATTTTATCTTTTTCGTGTGCTTTCCCTTAATAATCCCCAGGAGGAACAGTTCTGGCTTGAATTCTATTCGGGAATTTGTGATGTCCTGTAACCATTTCTGTATTTTAGTCCAATACTTTTTGACTTCCAGGCAAAGCCATCATACATGAAAAAAGGTACCCTGTGCCTGTTTATATTTCCAGCAATTTGGATTTAAATTTGGATACATTTTTGCCAATCTTGTTGGGGGCTAAATCCCGATGATAAAACATTTTATATTGGTTGTCTTTATATGCAGTGGACTTTGTTAACGTATAATTTTTGTTCCACATTTGTTAAGGGAATCCTGCAGGTAACTTAGTAAAACTACAAAGTGAATCTGGCTTCCCCATTGGCTTTGCTTGTCAGAACGTCTTAAAAAGTGATCACACAACCTTGGGACATTGTAACTGTCATAAATATGAGTCAGTTGTCAAGCATCTGAAGTTTTCTCAGGTGACCATGGGGATTCTGCAATGGTGATAAGTGTGAGAAATGATCATGAGTCACTTTTTTTAGTGCTGTATAACTTTGAACAACTGTTGTAAATTGAAGACTATAGTTGTCAAAAATCTCATGCAAGGTCCATTTGAGGAATAATCCAAATAAACTGGAGTCCATAAATTGCCTTTCTATTGCAAATCACAACAGGGTGGATCCCTAATCCTGCTTGTGGTTTTTCCAAGTTCAAATAGTTCAAAGGCCTTATCTGCATGTAGAAATATTACTGATTTTCATTATATTGTTTCAAATATTCCAAAATTTCAAACACAAGTATCGCATTCTTCTTCAACTTTCTTTTAGGTTAAAAAAAATCCCACAAAATTATTAGAGGTTATCTGATATCTCTTGCCTCAATGTTTCTGTTCTGATATGGGCCCAAGTATCTTCATCGAGCCCTTTTTCTAGCTGTTCTACTTTTTGTGTCCCTGTTTGTCTAAGAAGATTTCAGTGAGAAGTCTGATTGCTGCATCCAGGATGTTGTCTGTTGATTGCTTACACTCTAAATTCTCTTTCTTTAGCAGCTAAGATTTGTTTTCATACACAGTGCTTAATGAGTCCCTTTGTCAGAAGTTCTTTTTAAACCATTCCCAGTTTGATTGACTTGAGCTGAAAACATCCATCAAAAAGTACTGGATTCTAGATAATTTACATTTTCTGTCACCAATAAGGAGATGTTTTATTTGTGGAGATGTTTTATTTTGAAAAAATATCCAAGATACAAAAGTGAAACATATTGTGCAAATTTTTTCGGTTTTTTATCTTGTACATGTATAGTATAGTAAATATACAAATAGCGTGTTAGTTCTTTTTGTTTGTTTTCTTATAATAGTTTTTTAGTATATTTGTACCATACAATGTTCTCTCTAATATACTATTATACTATTTATTATTGTCCATATATTATAGACTATATAATACTATATATTATTGTCCATCTTTCTATGTTATATTATTCCGACAAGTATATTGTTAACGCTGCTATATTTCTACTAGTATACAACAGTAGTTTTATTCTTACAAACCCTGGTCTGTCTTTAAATCCTCTTTGGGATTTCCTCTCTTGTTTTTCTTCTTTATTAATAGATAGCAGATAAAGCACTGGCACTTCCCAACACTGGGATTGGCTAACACGATGTTACGATTTACGACCCCATCACTT